TGAATATTTCATGTTAGCAGTCTTTTCGATCTCGACAAAAAGGCTAAAGTTACTTGCAGTAATTAAACAAACAGCCAATGAATTCATTAGTTGCTGACGCGTTATGATACGGTCACCTTCAGATTTGTTTTAATATACTTTTCACTTTTGCTGGCACAATACATTAAGGAAGGCATGAGTAACGTCATTTTTATGCTTGTTACTTAAATATTGCTAACAACCAAACTGAACCCATTTTGTAACTAGACTGCAATTACTTAACATACTTTTTTCCGCATTTACCAACTCTATAGGATGTCAAACAACTAAAAAAGAGCACCAGAGTAATTTTTCTACTTCTGTCGTTGTAGGTGAGTAGGATTACTACAGGCGATTGCAATAGCTAGACAGTACTCCTAATCTTTCCAATTTTGGGTTTGCTAACAGCTTAATGAATAAACACAAATAGTCTATAGGATTATTGAATATAGTGGAATGACATGTAGTAATCGGTAGGTATGTTACTGGTTTGTGAAAACGATTATTAGTATTCATCACATAAGGTAACCTTCATCACTGTGAAATAAGTTTGGAAATCTTCAGAACTCACTATAAAGAACAAAGTTTTGACTTTCAACACCAGTGTCAATTCAGTCAGTTATTCTGTATGGGTCAGAAACTTCACCAGCGCGTCACCAAAAGCATCTTCAGTAGGCTACTGAAGACCTTTATCAACACATCTGCCTTCACTGGCTAGTCCCGTACTAATGATCAGATGCCACCGGCTGGTCAGAGATAATTATCATCAACCAGAAACTCTGGGAACGAATCAATCAAGAAATTAGTGCCCGATGAATATGCTGAAGAAAATGAAGATGGATCAGAAACACTCTGAGAAGACCGTTGAGTGATTTCGCGTGTCAGGTCATAGCTGGAGTGGAAGTTGAATGGGGAACGACGAGTTGGGTGGATGTCCGAGGTCATCATGCAGGCGATCGTGTGAGTAGGTGATAAAATCGAATGGGGGAACATGCGACCAGTTAAAGTGTACTTCAGAAAACAGAACAAAATGGAGATGTTCTGTCGAATTCCCATGTCCCACTTGGAACGAAAGGGAATCATGATAAAAAATCATATAAAGATGGACAGCTGCATAGACAGACAAATATACAATGGAAGTGAAGGAAAGATGAATATAAGGACGTAGTCATTAATCAATTAACACTTTCATAATTCATCTGAGATACAAGAATACATAATTAACCCTATTTTCTATTTAGTTTGAAGAAATAGTATATGCACCGCAATTATTACTACTACCATTAAGAGTATTAATGGTAATAATGTATATATATATATATATATATATATATATATATATATATATATATATATATATATATATATGCTTTCAACTTAATCCCTCTGCATTCTAGCAACACTTTAAAAAAGGAATTTAAATAAAGATAACACATTATTAAATTGGTAAGCTTTGTTTTAAAAACTCCAGGCAATTGTGTAAGCTACTTTTAAATCGAAATATTAACAAGTGATTAGACTATTCATAATAATAATCCATTTGATCTTCAACAAATTCGACAGCCTGAAAAGTATACCTGGATCAAATAATGTCTGTGAATACAGTGACTGTGTCATACTATTTACTGCAGAAGGGGGTGAAAATGTCTCAATTTGGGTATCAATTAAAAATACGAAAACTTGAAATAATAATACCTACAGAAGATGGGTAGTGTCGTGTGAATCAGTTATACGAACAATTTGAGTTTCTAGACCCCAGAGGCATATCAATGTATTGTGTTCAGAAAATTACAAGTGATGAAGCATATCACCTCAAAGGCAGATTTATTTAGTTCTAAAGTATCACTCAGAGAAACACTGGAAATAAAGCAACACTAAATAATCTTTTTTGTCGTAAATCAGAATCAATAGCATTGTTCAGTCACAATACCAGGACATTACGCTTTACTACATGGCCATGGTGCGTCGGTGGTTCAGCGATAGGATGCTTACCGACCATGTATGTGGTCTGGGGTTTGATACCCCGCCGGTGCACACCTTCACCTCACTTAGTCGATTTTGTAACCCCGACAAAGAGGGAAGATTGAACGTGGAGCTAGCAAATCCATCCCGTGAAACATCACTGCTATTGAAACTTCAAAGCTCAAGCTTTAAGCCTTATGTTTCACTCAGAATGCAAAAGGAATTAAATAAATAAAATAAAAAAAGGTCATTCACACAGTATATGTATTTTTTTTATTGCAGCTTGATTCCACACAGTACTTTTTTTAGTAGAAGTAAGGAATCTTCAGAATGGATATCGGTAGCCCAAATTTTGCAGGCCGGCCATTGATAGCAGGTGTGCATCGGCAGGAGATCGAACCCCGGACCATGTGCGTGGTCGACGAGAGTCCTAACTACTGTGCCACTGACGCCACCACTGCTGCGACTGACACCCTTTATAACCTCTGTCAACTCATGATGCAACAAGAAAATTATTGAACGAATGTATTTGCTGGTGAAAAAACTACTTTGTAAAACTCAATCCAGCAGTGGGATAATGCATAATTCTTGTCAACTCATTAGATTAGGAATGTTTTCTTTCCTATGATATTTCAAATGTTAGATAGCTGGAGGCGATCGGCAGGTAAATCTGGAGCAACGTTTCGTGTTCGTTGGTACAAATCAACAAAAGGTATCTGCAACCATTAGGAAACTAATGTCCCCCACTGAGATTCAATTACCCACCACTCAGACCTGGAAAGAGAGACGTTGCTACTGAGCTATTCGATCCACAAATGACCTCCTGTAAGAGCATAACAGATACATCGTTTGGACACTGGACAATAATCAGTGTTATATGTCTAGTTCATGTTGATTAGCTGGTGAAGTTTCTGACCCATATAGAAGAAGTGACTGAATTGACATTGGTGTTGAAAGTCAGAACTTTGTTCTTTATAGTGAGTTCTGGAGATTTAGAAACTTATATCAGAGTGATGGAGGTCTGGTATTCCTTTCTGATTCTGGTTTGAACACCCTCACCCGTGCTGCCTGTCATACTAATGCAAACCAAACTGTTCATATCAATGGAGTATAGCTCTACAAATATGTTTGCATAAACTGCACTAAACAGAAGAAAACGAGAGCTAGAAAGATTTCGAAAACACTCAGAATCAGTCAGCTTACTTATAAGATTTTTTTAAGAATTCTTCAGCTGCATGCCTAATTATAACCCTAAATATTAATTAGCAGGAATCGTTTCAGAAGCTTTCTCATTAGGCCTCAGAAACTTTCGGCATCTGTAGGCACATGAATAAAAAATTATGTGCTTTGAGTACCACACCATTTTGATAGCAAATTTTCCAGTCATTTTACATCTTATGTCACATTTTTTCGTCAAAGGTTAGTAGAGTCCTGTGGCATGCTTACAAGAAAAGCAATTTGAGATAATAAAACACGAGGTTTTTTGGGTAAGGATTAAACAATATGGGAAATGATGATATGCACTCATTGTATCGCATTGTAATGTAGGTATTGGAAGCGTTTTAAAATACACTAACATATTTTATGTGTTAACAAAATTCACTTGTTTCGGCACAGACAAACAAGCATACTATCATGCATACATGTGCAAACCAGTCAATATATAAAATATATAGCTGGAGACATTAATTGAGAAAATGGAAGACGAAATAACATTAAACAAAAGTGCATCAAACAACGGCTGAAGTACAACATCTCAACATAACAGACAGAAAAGGGAAATTACAAACATTTTAATATTAAGCATTACTGTATTTGTGAAACACTTAACATCTATACAATCAAGTAAGTAATAGGAAGAAAGACTAAGAAATGAGAATGGTACGATTAAAGGTGGTTACTGAACAGATGATCCAGACGAAAGAAGGAAAGATTTGGAAAGCATAAAAGTATGATAGTACTATTAATCCGAGTAAGGAATATCATCGATTCTGTGACAGATAACCTACGGTTTACAAATGGGGAACCTTACCATCGACAGTGAAAAACCATTTAGTTTTTCGGATCTATGTTTGCTAGTATAATCCTCATTATATTTGAGGGCCACATAGCAACAGCATCAGGCCGAACAGACGACGATGTCGAAACCAGAGTCGGAAAAGCAAGGCAGGTGCATTCATGACACTAAAATCAGTTTGGAATTCTACTGCACTCAGTAGTGGAAAGAACGCAATTCGAACTTCCAACACCAATTTCAAGTCAGCCACTGCTTCTATATGGGTGAGAAACTTCGCGGATTACGAATAGCATTTCAAACAGTCAGCTGTAGACTTCTGTCCATAGATGCCTTCTCTGGCTCAATACTAAAGATCAGATGATCGACCAGAAAGAATTAGCCATAAGAAACTCTGGAAACGAATCAAACAAGAACCTATCACTCAACAATTATGACGAAGAAAATGAAGATGAAACGAATACATATTGAGGAGACCGTCAAATCACATCACGTGCCAGGCCATATCTCTTGTGGAACCTGGATGGAAAACGATGAGTTGGGCGTGGATTCGAGGATGAAACGGAAGACATCATGCGAGGAGGAGATTATAGCTTATGGACAAACGTGGGGACAGCTAAAGAGGACTTCAGAGAACATGGTACGGTGGAGATGTGCTCTTCTAAGCCCTATGTTCCATTCGGAAGCCAGGGGAGCAATAATAAATATAAATAGCAAGGAAACAGTTTTTTAGAACTGAAGACCTTAGTACCATCGGATTCCTCGGTCCAAAAGCATAGCTTCTCTTTCAAATCCCATTGTAGACTAAACTATTCACACTATAATGAGATCAGCTTTTAGTCTTACAGCTATTCAGCTGATATTCCTGAATGGCTCTACAAACATAACTCCGTGAATTACTGAATCAAGATTTCAGCTGTTGCTTGAACAATGACAACGATAATCATATAATGTATGTAAAAGTAAAGTCTTAAAAAACTACAAGAGATAAACAATGAAGGCTTACCTTAGAAGATTTAAGCGTTTTTGTATCATCATTTGACAACGATGAATTCGTTATTAAAGATGACTCTGGACTGACTGACTTTTTATTGTTACTCGGAAATGACACTTTGTCAACATCATTTTTTGCTAAATCACAATAACCATCGACAAGTCGATGCAGTTTATTGACTGTAACTGTATCGGAATGTGTATCTGTTATGTCAGAACTATTATTATTACTGTTATTATTATCACCATCATTACAATTATTGGTCGTGGATGTAGTACTAATAGTACTGGAAGCAGTCGTCGTGGTTGAATCAGGACTTACTTTAACTACACTTTGTTTGGAAGGATTATTCGAGGGTAATTCTGAAATGTCATTGGTTGAATATGTTGCTGAACCCGTTGACATATTATCACAGTGATTTGTATCGTTCACGACATCAGAAGGAACTGGATATTTTGTTGAAAAATCTCCTTCACCGATACCCCCACCACCACAAGCAGCAGCACAAACATGCGCTTGTGGTGAATGAAGATTAAACTGTTGGTGAAAATGTGGAAGATGCGGATGAATAAATTGTGGAGGCGGTGGCGGAAATGGATGTATCGGATGACCAGGAATAGCTTGTGGATGCGGTAATGTATACGGATTCATATGGATTAGATTTTCATTGGTTGGTATACCAGGAGATGGTAATAAAGGATGGAGATGAGGATGAGGATGGTGGGGTTGTAAATGCTGACTAGGATTTAAAATTAAATTAGCACCAGCTGTAGAAACATCATTTGTCTGATTAATTGACATTGGGACACCACCAGTTGCAACCATTGATAATGGAGGAGTTGGATAGGGTGATAGGATGACATGAGTAAGAATGCCTTCCTCATCAACAATTTGTTGAACTAAATGACCAGGTGGGACTTGCATAGGCATGGGTAAAGGTGGACCACTATTGGAGACCATTCTAACAGTAGCTGGACCTGGGATAATTTTTGAAAAATTGATTACACATTAAAGAAAGATGTTCATCATTTACTTTTAATTAAAATAATGAAATTATTATAATTGATTAACTTTACAAGTAGGCTAATATTTCGGAATGTGATAGATTATTATCTCAGGACATTTTAAAGCTTGCGTTATTCTGTCTTACACATATTACAAAACATAGACCAAAAGAGTGCTAAGATATCGAAATAATTATTTAATTCAATTTTAGATTTTCCCGTTGATTGATTGAACCGAAATGCTCTGTTTCAGGCTGATATGTCGGCTTCTTGAGCAGATGATTCGATGAGAACATCATCACTCACTGCGCAATGCAGCTACATCCAGATTATGAGTCCCAAATAGGACGAAATGCGCACCCTAGATTTTACTGCTAGTCACCATCCACCAATTAACTTCCAATCGCGAAATAATGTTTAAAAAATCTCGTAATATAATATGATTATATTAAGAGCAGTAGATTACTTGAATAACTAACTATATGGAGTTTGAAATGGTAGATACAGGTTATAAGTTTCAGAGGAGGCAGCAGTATTCACTTTAGGTTACTACCATGTTCAGCCGGGAAGTTGCAAGTGGAAGCATGCATACATCAGTCTTGAATTTCACTACTAGTAACAAGTAAACTAATTAGCATGATACACTACAATTACTCAAGCCATTGTTGCTACTAGATGGTTGCGGGAAACTGGCAAAAAGCTATGCATCTGGGTTTCGTTCTTGTTGGCACTCGTCAGCAAGGCGTATCTGCAACTGTTGAAAAAACCATTTCTCATCTACGAACACGCGTTATCCAGTGCTGCGGTCACAGACATCTCCACTGAGCTAATCAGGCTCGCGATCGACCTTCTTGTAGGACTGTTTCAGATATTTTGATTGAACACTAGATAGTAAGTAACTAGTGTCATGCGTCAAGTCCTTTGTTTGGTGCAAACTGAATTCTATCAGAGAGGACGTGACATCCTTCAAGGTTGCAGATACGCCTTGCTGACTGGTGAGTGCCAACAAGCACTTTGACCTAGGTCAATTAAGCTACTGAAGCCCTTAAACAGTTTCAGTCACTGGATAATGATGATGAACATTTCATCTTTTGGATTGTTTACCCCTTAAGAATATTCCTTGTATTTATATAAGGTTTCAAAACTAGGATCAATAAAAAGTGATTTACTAAATATCAAGATAGTAAGGGTTAACTGAAATTCACAGAACGTAGTTTTCACGAGATAGTAAGCACAACCTAATCCTACAAAAGACTAGAAATAAACTGAGGAGCACATTAGTCAAATCTTCAAACTTTGAAATCAGTTAATATAGGTTTTAAATCACAAAGGAAACAAGAATTTCAGCCTTTTGAGAGTCAATAAGTACAAAAGTTAGGTTCACAGTCTTCTGTCTAATATCTAATCGGCATTTAAACGCCTTCCGTATCCCAAAACTCTAGCAGATTTAATCAAACTATCAATTAATATAGTCCGCCGATGGCAGAGCTCTTAGGACGCTCGCCAACCATGCACATGGTCCGGGATTCGATCCCCAGCTGACGCACTTCCTTTATCTCGTTAAGCCAGAAATGAAAGCTGGTAAAGAGGAAAGGTTGGACACGAAGCTAGCAAACCCATCCTGTAAAAATTAACACTGCTACAGAAACTTCAAGCCACTAGCTTGAAGCCCTATGTTCCAGTGAAGGAATAAAAAAAAAGTTGGTTAAAGTAACTCAGTGGTGATCAGATTCTAACAACCAAGTATATTGAGTCCGGTAATGCCTGATACCAAAAAGCGTAACGTCATAGACAAAGTCGTATTGTAACAACAGAAGGCAAGACATGGAAGCCAAGGTATATTTTCAACTGACCAAACCGCTATTTATATAGATACAGTTTTACATTCTCTAACTAATCACTGAGTGTGTGATTTCAGATTACATTAAACGACATGAAATAGAATGTTCAAATATATATAGTATTCTGTTGTAGTGAACTGTGGGAATATGTGAAAATAATATTCCGTTGGAACACATTTCGTCTGTAACACAGTATTAGTTGACTGTCAGTTTGAATCATATAGGGAACCCAAAAGAACAACCAGTGACTGAAGGCTGTTGATGATATTAGTTAAAAATTGTTGTCACTATCTCACACGCATTGAAGTAATCGACCTTTCCATTAGGACTACATTATTTTTTCTGACTCAGATTTACACTCATTGTAGTTTCATCGCATTTCTTTTTTATGTGTCCTCTACCTGCTACACTTTTGTAAAGGGTTTTATGTTGAAAAAAGAAAAATTGATCCAGTCAGTTGATCAGCATTACTGAGAACAAAGTTTCCTTGCAAAAGGCATCACTTTAACTTGTTAAAACCTTGTAATGGTGGCGGATAAAAAAGAAGCAGGTAAAAATAAAGTGATATCTTGAGATATACAGCGATGGATATTGAATGAAAGCGAATAATGAAAACGCCCACAATTTTGAGATAGGCATGTTATCAAGAATCGCCCGACGGTTGGTTCGCAAACTTTAAGGACAACAGCCAAGACACCTACCTTTTTCCCTAGAATGCTAATCAGAGACTGCATGTCATAGCCTGGCTAACTAATCCTTACTTATCTCCAGTCCAATTCTACTTTATTTGACCTGTTTCATAGGCATTCATAGGGCAGATATTTCAGCGTCCTTAAATGAAGAATATGCATGATCTCATAGATCGAGTAGCTTTAACAATTTACAATCCACTTTAATTGAGCCCACTTAGTTGTTGTGTCGCATAATGTTACGAGAACGTCTAAGATCTCATGCCTTCTACCTTTAACTATCTTTTTTTCACTGATACTCAATAAGGCAGTTGATTAGTCAAAAACGAGAAACAGCCCTTTGAAAAGTATGACGATTTGATTACCTCATCGAGCCATCCTGCAACTATAAAAAAGGCAAATAGATTGATCAAAACATTCGACTATTGCATCTCCTAATTATGAGTCAGTTATACACTTAAATCTGTTTATAATTAGTGTGTATGTAACGGAAGAAGGTGAGGGACTTGGTGACAGATTTTCTTCATTACTGAAAAACACCATATTTATACAATCTTAGCTACATTATAGTTCGTTTGCGTCAGGGAAGAATAAATCGTTCTGACTGGTCGAAAATCGACCCAAGGTTAAACGAGGTTGTTCAATTAGGTTATTTCATTTCCACAACATAAACTAAATCCAGATTTGGTGAATAAACATTTCTACTTCTGCTGCCATTTACTTAAAATGTTGGTTTCAGTTTTGGCCACATCCTATCAATCTGCATCACGCTACATTTATAAGACAGAAAAGAGGTGTACATAGTTCGCTGGCACTGATCTTTTTTCCTTCACGTTCCCCAGTGGAACATAGGGCTTCAAACTAGTGGCTTGAACTTCCTGTAGCAGTGTTTATTTTTACAGGATGGGTTTGCTAGCCTCGTATCCAACCTTTCCTCTTTACCAGTTTTTATTTCTGGCTTAGGGAGGTAAAGGAGTTTGTCAGCCGGGGATCGAATCCCGGACAATGTGCATGGTCGGCGAGCATCCTAACCGGTATACCACCGACGCTGCTGGCACTGATTAGTAGTGCTAAAAATTTGTGCTAAGCAGGAGACATGAAATAAAAAAACTCAAAAACGGGAAAGACTGGTGCCTGTTGTAGACAATTGAAAACGTAATCCTACATAAGTCAAGTCACAAATTAATATTGTATTTACAAGGTAAGTATTGATTATAGGATTATTTGTTATATAGTGTGAATATTATTTTATTACTTTTTGACCCTTAATTGACTTGACCTTAACACGTTTTTATCGCAACATAAAACACACATTTTGGTTTTCATTCCACTTTTAACATTTCATGCACATAACATGATAATAATAATAATCACTCCATAATTATTAGTTAAATTCGCCTAAAGCAACCAGTATTCTATGTTCAAAAGAAGCAAGTTCAGCCCCTACTACTGCCCTGGCTCGCCTTCAGCAGAGACTATAAATTCATGAATTTGTAATATTATCTTTCCTAATTTTTTCTGACATTCAGCTTATTTTATTTTGATGTTATTGAGCTGTAACCTATCAATATTATTGTTTTCCTTCACGTTCCCCAGTGGAACATAGGGCTTCAAGCTAGTGGCTTGAAGTTTGATGCTATTTAAACAACATTAATGTTGTTCATAACGCTAATTCATTCATTCACTATAATGTATATATAAATGAAGAGCCTGATGATGAAGTTACCGAAAAGAGTACTTTTCGTTCAGTATCCATTCTTTTGAAAATTTTAATGGGCATTTTTAATCAGTTAAATTCAATCTTTAATTTCTTCTTATACGACTTAACTATTAATTATCACGACCAACTAACATATAAATTAAGTTGAATCTTAGGTAAATTGCATATTACGCTTTTGTCCAACAATTTTGGCCTAGTCTATATATTAATGCGGATACTAACTGTAGAAATTACATGTCCACTTCAACATTCCATTATCTTCCTTTACAACAGGCTTTATTCAGACACTTTCTATCACTGTAACTAAGAGCAATTATCTAAGTGCTTATACATATAGAATTGAGCCATGTCTATTCTAAGCGTACTACTGTAACGTGATGCAGATTGATAGGATGCGGCCAAAATTGAAATCAATATTTTTAGGCATTGGCAGCAGAAGTAGAAATGTTTATTCACCAAATCTGGATTTAGTTTATGTTGTGGAAATGAAATAACCTAATTGAACAACCTCGTTTAACCTTGGGTCGATTTTCGACCAGTCAGAACGATTTATTCTTCCCTGACGCAAACGAACTATAATGTAGCTAAGATTGTATAAATATGGTGTTTTTCCGTAATAAAGAAAATCTGTCACTAAGTCCTTTATCTTCTTCCATTACACTACCACTACTACTACTAATAATAATAATAATAGTAATAATACCTAAGCTGTTCAAACTTTGT